TGGCCTCTTTACATTCTTTTATTCTTGTCAAGGAATAAGAACTCTTGTGTACCAAAATGAATAAAAAGTTGATATTTAAGAACAAATCTGTAAATAATTACATGATGGTTATCACCATAATTATGAAATTAGCGATGGGGCAGCACTGTGGTGTAGCGGATAAAGCCACTGCCTGCAGTGCCGGCATCCCATATGGGTGCCGGTTCAAGTCCTGGCTGCTCCACTACCAATCCCGCTCTCTGCTCTGGCCTGGGAAGTCAGTAGATGGCCCAAGTGCTTGGGCCCCTGCACCCATGTGGGAGACCTGGAAGAAGCTCCTGGCTCCTGGCTTCAGATCGGTTCAGTTCTGGCCTTTGTGGCCAATTAGGGAGTCAAACAGCAAATGGAAGACCTCTCTCTCTCTCTGCCTCTCCTCTTTCTGTATAACTCTGACTTTCAAATAAATAAATCTTTTAAAAAAATTAGCATTATATATACAATTTGGTATTTGTTGGTATCTGAAACTTTCTTAGACTCTCTGTTGTGTCTTGCTTTGCTCATGGAAGATACTCAGGGATATTTGTTAAAAATATTTAGAAATAATGTCAGCCAACTCTCATCTTGGTTAAAAGCAAAAAGTTATTCTCACTATTAGAGAATAAGTAGAGTTTATGTTGGGATTAAAAAAAAATCAAACATCTGCATAGACATATACAATGAAAAGTCTCTGTAAATGTGTGCCAAGGTAACCTGGATAAAAAATAAAATCATATAAATCATAAGTAGTACATTCTCATCTTCAAAAAATCAAGTAATCTGAAAAAACTTGAATAAGAGTTACCTCCCAAATTTTACCAACAAGAGATGGCCTATTGCTATTTTTTCTATCTTAAAGTGCATGCTATACTTAGAGTTTACAAAACTTACATCATTACTCATCAGGGTATTCTATAACTTGCTTTCTATAGTGAATTATACAGAGACCACTTTATATCAGTAAATATGAATTATTTTTCTTTTTCTGGGTTGTGGGAATTATCTTTTATAATATGTTTTATTTCATATGTGTATATAGTCTTAACCACTTTTTTCTCCAATAGATTTGTCCAGATTTTTCTGTAGCACAAATTTCAAGATGCAGAATAGCTAGGTTTAATAATCAGAAGGGTTATATCAATTTATACCACAAACAACATGACGGAGGACACATTTTCTCGAACACTTGCTGGCACTAGACAGTATTGGTTTTGGTAAATTTTTGTCAGTTTTCTATGTCAAAACTGATTAATGTGGATATTTGTTGTTATTGGTGGGGTTCAACATCTTCTATATTTATTGATCATTTAAAATTCTTTATTTAGTGGGGGAGGCCTGCAACGCCAGCATCCCATATAGGCACTGGTTTGTGTCCCAGGTGCTCCACTTCTGATCTAACTCCCTGCTCTTAGCCTGTGACCTGGGAAAAGCAGTGGAAGAAGCCCAAGTGTTTGGACCCCTGCCACTGTTGTGGGAGACCTGGATAAAGCTCCTGGCTTTGGCCTAGCTCAGCTCTGGCTGTTGTGGCCAACTGGAAAGTGAACCAGCAGATGGAAGATCTCTCTGTCTCTCTCTGTTTTTCTCTAACTCTGCCTTTCAAATAAATAAGTCTTTAAAAAAAATTAAGAAGCAGTCTATAAGTGGCTTCATTTATGTTTGTTATATTTAGTGTCCATTTATAGAAATATGTAACTGGGTAGTTCCATAATGAAGTCTCTGCCCCCTAAGCTAGTTACTCTGCCCTTTCTTAATTTAGGACCTCAGAGGGAGTGAAGCTAAATTAAGAGAAATGCTTCTGTTTGCAGATGGATAATTAATTTTTTTTCAGATGGATAATTAATTAATTATTCATATGTCTTTTACATTCATGTATCTATCATCCACAAGTTGGAATTTTTTTAAAAGATTTATTTATTTATTTATTTGAAAGACAGACTTACAAAGAGGCAGAGGCAGAGAGAGAGAGAGAGAGAAAGGTTTTCCATATGCTTGTTCACTCCTCAGATGGCCAGGAAGCCAGGAGCCAGGAGCTTCTTCCGGGTCTCCCATATGGGTGCAGGGGTCCAAGGACTTGGGCCATCTTGAACTGCTTTCCCAGGCCACAGCAGAGAGCTGGATCAGAAGTGCAGCAGCCCAGCCGGGACTCAAACCAGCACCCATATGGGATGCCAGCACTGCAGACCAGGGCTTTAACCTGCTGTGCCACAGCACCAGCCCCCCAAATTGGAGGAATTTGAAATGTGTTTATCTACCAGTGTGTGTTCACTTGAATGACTATTGGAATGGATATTTGCCAGTGATAGAAAACTCAACCCAAACTCCTTTACATAAAAAAGTTGTTAATCTGGATTTGTGTAAAGCCAAGTCCTAGTGCAAGCCTGGCTTGCAGTAGAGCTTGAAGCAGAGGTTCAAATCATTTCCCCAGCAACAAGTTTCTTTTTCTGTATATCTCAGCTTTGTTCCTTCTGCATTCTGTTCATTTTTATATAAGTTCTCCCCTTATTGCATCAACATGGCTGTAATAGCCTCTGAACTTGTATCCTTCCAGGGCTAAGCCCAGTTGAAAAGATAAAACAACTCTTGCTAGTTGCACAAGAAAAAAACAGGGTTCCCTCTTACTATGCCTAACTTGACTGTTGTGATTTGTGTGCCCATCTTGATGCTATGGCTCAGACACTTGACCCATGCAGTCCTAGAAGCTATGGGTGTAAGTTTTGAGGCCACCTGAACCATTTTGACCATGAGTAAGGTAGGTTCCCCACAAGAAAATCTAGGACTGTTGCCAGGAAAAGTGGGCTTGATTCTGGCAAAGCAGAAAACAAATGCCCACTCATTTTGTATTTTCTGTAGAGTTCCCAGTACATGAGAAGTGCTCTCAGTATTTACTCCTGCCTGATGATTGCACTATTGGTGCTATATTTAACATAGTTATAAGATCAATAGAAGTTTGTAGGTCAGCGTGAGTACTTCATTGCAGGTGTTTTCAAGGTAAAAATCTGACTTAAATGTTAAACAGTCTATTTTACAATGAACTTTGAGGTAGACAGTCATAAACATACAGGTGCAGACTTCTTAAGCACTTTTAAGCTAGTGTTCTTAGAAACAGCAATGAGAGTAATCAATAATATTAAATTGATTTTAGAAATCATAGCTCACTTATTGTCATGCATCTATTTAGCTAAGGGGCACTTATTGAGAGTGTCTGGATTATGCATGGGACATGGCCTGGGCTCTATCAGGTCCTATAAGCTAGTGAGTGTCCTGGAAAAATGTGATGGTAGAACCAACTGCAGAGCATGAGGAGAGCACTCGGGACCAGCCCTTGCTTCAGACCAGAGATCTCAGCTTCTCTAGATGAGATTGAATATGTCCTAAGGAACCAATAAAAATGAACTGGAATAAGAGGGATAGTGTTAGAGTTGAACAGGATGTGATAGCATCTTTAAAGTATGTTCATAGCCACTAGGATTGAAAAACTATGGCTCATTTGGGGCATTATAAATAGTTTTGTATACCTGAGAAGAAGTGTATGTGTTTGAATGTGATGGGTGTGCATTGGAAGAGAATGGGTTGGTCAGGGGACAATTTCAAGAGAAGAGGCTAGGGACAGGTACACAGGGTCCATAGGAATTTGGACAGTCATGAACTACCAAAACTGTTAAGGGGTAAATGACTTGATTCAAACCTAGAAAGAATCTTGGAGAATTCCATAAGTACAAATTTACTGGAGAGGATTCAGAAAAAAAGAGCATTCGATGCTATCAGTTTTGTTTTTTTTTTTTTCTTAAGATTTATTTGAAAGAGTTACAGGAGAGGTAGAGACAGAGAGAGAGACAGAGAGGTCTTCCATCTGCTTGTTTACTCCCCAAATGGCCAGAACTGAGCCAATCTGAAGCCAGGAGCCAGGAGCTTCCTCCGGGTCTCCTACGCGGGTGCAGGGTCCCAAGCACTTGGGCCATCCTCCACTGCTTTTCCAGGCACATTAGCAGGGAGCTGGATTGGAAGTGGAACAGCAAGGACTTGAACCAGTGCCCATATGGGATGCTGATACTGCAGCCAGGGCTTTAACTCACTGCATCACAGGGCCAACCCTATTGCTCTAATTTTTAAAGTTGACATTAGGTAGCATAGTTATTGATATTGCTAATTTATAAATAAACATACCCATTGAAAGTTTTTGAACACTGACAGTTGTTTGAAACACTGACAGTATCTAAAATATGGACTTTCTGAAACAAATGGTATATTTTTCCTTTAAACAAAATGTAATTTTAAATTAACAATCTCATATCACTTTCCAGGTGATTTTATCTTGGAAGTTGTCAAAACTTGACAGAAGGAAGAGTTTCTTAATTTTAGGACAATAAAAGATTTTAAAACATGGAATGCCATTTGTAAAGACAGCTTGCCAGCTAGCTATCATTCCAAGAACTGTTGAATAAAAATCTAAAAAATCAGAGAAATTGAGTGTTGTATTCTCTTTAATAATGATTAAACAAAAATGATTAAAAAAAAAATGAAGGGTCTCCAGAAAGTTTATGGAGAATGCATGTTAGGAAAAAAATTATGCATGGATTTACAAATTTTTGTACTAAAGTAGACATCTTTTAATTTCATTTCCCACAAACTTTAAAATACCTTCATATAATTTGTTTAGTAGAAATTTACTTAGTAAGGAAAGTTTAACAAAAAATCACTTACTGGAGCAATTCTTGTGTAGCCAGGAAAGATGTTTTGCTTTTTAAATTTCCCTGACCTTCATACATTTAAACCTTGTATATCATCCTTTTCTAGGTTCTTATAATATTCTGTACATAGGACAATCAATAAATGTTTGTGGAATTAAGTTGATCTGGCCTCAGTAGGAAATGAACCTGAAATTCTCTTCTTTTTACAAACACACGCACACATACCCCATCCATACAGCTGAGGTGTCTGTTAGGATTAGATTCATCCATTAGAATTAGGTTTGACTTTCAGTGACTTTATATAGATATAGCAATCCAGGGCTGCTATGGTGAAGCCATGAAATCATTCAGTACCTCAGCTCCTTTTCTTGTTCTTTGCTTCACCAGTCATGTAGAATGATCCTCCTCATGGCCCACTATGGTGGCCATAGCCCCAGCTATTACATTAACCTGCAATAAAAAGGCCAGAAAGCATGAAAAACTACTGCTATTTTTATTTCCTGACAGTGTGTTACACTTCTTAAATGTTGCTAGTTTGAACTTAGTCCTATGGTCACATCTAATTGCTTGAAGTATGGCATACTGTCCTTTTAGCTGAGTGCATTGCTACTGTGAATCAATTTGACATTTGGTTATTAGGGAGAAGGGGGAAACAAATGTTGGGATATGCACATCATTTCTGCAGCAATGATATGATTAGAAGTAATATTTTTTAAAAGATTTATTGATTTATTTGAAAGAGTTACACAGAGAGAGGAGAGGCGGGGGGGGGGGTGGCACGGGGAGAAAGAGGTCTTCCATCCGATGGTTCACTCCCTGATTGGCTGCAACGGCCGGAGCTGTGCCTGTCTGAAGCCAGGAGCCAGGAGCTTTTTCTGGGTCTCCCACGTGGGTGCAGGGGCCCAAGGACTTGGGCCATCTTCTACTGCTTTCCCAGGCCACAGCAGAGAGCTGGATCAGAAGTCGAGCAGCCAGGTCTCGAACTGGCATCCATATGGGATGCCGGCACTTCAGGCCATGGTGTTAACCCACTGTGCCACAGCACCGGCCCCCTACAACTATATTTTTGAGTTATTACCATAAGGATGAAATAAAATTGACTTAGAGAGATGGAACACTAAGGAAACATTGAGAAGTTATTTGAATTCTGTAATAGGAAGAAGATGCTTTTTACTAGCTGCCTTCTATAACTGTTTTTAAAAACGTACTCAGTTAGTTAGTGCTGTATTTGGCATTTAATGAGTTTTGATTTGGTAACTTGAAATGGGAAGAGGGATAAAGAGAGATGATATCATCCAGAAAGCATGTATGGTGGTGTTTCACCTAAGGTCCAGCTTAGTGCAGTGGTAGCAGTTTCCCAGTACAGAATTAGAATTAGAAGGAAAAATTTAAGAACTTATGCAGTGTCTTGTTTTGATACCTGCAAATCAGACTGAATATGGACAGATGAACTATGTTGTTTGTCATAATATAAATAGAGGTTTACTATTTTTATCCCTTCATAGTTTTTAAAATGTAGTTGCTAGAAAAAGCAAATGGATAGGCATACAAGCATAAAGATAATTTCTCTTACATGGGTTCTCTAGTTTCTAACCAGTGAATTAGAAAAGACCAAGGTCTTTGTCAACTAAGGGCAGGTAGTAAGAGCTGAACTGAAGACCTCCTTGTTTTTCCTAAATTCTGATAAGTACCAAGGATGAGAAGTATTTTTAGAAGCTTTTTTATTTGGAATATCTTCCTCATATTGGACAAAATTAGCAATGCATGTCCTGGAAGGAAAGCTTTTCCCCATATCTCTTTATTTTGCTCTTTCATTCCAGGTTTTGCTAGCAAGACCAGAAAATTTTGCCCTCCATCAATGCTTATCTCTTTGGATTAAATTCTAATCTGTTTTCTCTTGATGTTTTCATAGTAGAGGTTAGAACTATCTCGTTGACATATGTGCAGGTCCTTGTTCTGTTACTGTAAAATCTTTAAAGATTTCTGAAATTCTTCCAGATGAATAGTTATAACTCTGAAAATCTTTTTTTTTTCTTTTTAAAGGATTTTATTTGTTTATTTGTGGAGCAGAGTTATAGACAGAGAGAAAAGTCTTCCATTTACTAGTTCACTCCCCAAATGGTCGGAAGCAGTTGGAGTTGGGCCGATCCGAAGCCAGGAGCCAGGAGCTTCTTCCAAGTCTACCACTTGGGTGCAGGGGCCCCAGCACTTGGTCCATCATCCACTGCTTTCCCAGGCCATAGCAGAGAGCTGGATCAGAAGAGGAGCATCCAGGACATGAACTGGCACCCATGTGAGATGCTGATGCTGCAGGCGGAGGCTTAGCCTACTATGTCACAGTCCCGGCCTCTGAAATTTTTCTTACTAGAATAATATTCTAGTGGCAGTAAAAATAACACTCACTATTATTATTTTTCCATTTAATTTATAATATTCTAGAATGGATGCTAGTAGTGAATAGGAATTTCAATGATTACTGACTATCTCCTATTTGCTACAGTATTTTAAGTAATTTATTTTATTTGCTTTTCATAACAGTCCTCCGTGGAGGGAAATTGAGGCTTAAACTTTCCAAGGCCACAAAGCTATTGCATGTCAGACCCAGAATTAGAGCACTCTGACTCCAGGGGCTGCCATCTGTCCAGAACTTCCATTGACGGTGGGCTTGGTGATTGCCTGGCTATGCTGCCCAGTATGGCAGCCACTAGCTATGTGCAGTTGTCTACTAGCTGAACTCCTAAGGAGATTTCCTAAGGAAATTAAATGGACCCTTAAAAATTTTTTTCAATGTATTTTTAAAAATTTTATTCATACAAATAATTTATTAGCAATTTCTGAAATGCAAAGCCTTTAGAGAGAACTAGCAAATATACTTTGCTATCAGTGATTAGATATTTGGCAATGATTTTAAATTCAGAATCCCTACAGATCTGTTTAATACTTTTATTTCTAGTTAAACTGTTACTATAAATGAAAAGCAGTAGACATTGGATGTATTCAACTGATCTTCCATTTCACAACTAGATGTCAGTGTTAACATACCTGATTAAATGTCTCAGGTGTGATTATAGTGAGGTAATACAAATAGTTACCTATATAAGATATAGGTCAGAAAATAAATGATAAAGAAGAAAAGAATGAAAAAACTACTTTCCTTATTTCAGAGATCTAATTAAATCATTTACATTTTTAAAATGCTGATTTACCCTAATTTCCAGCAGCCACAGATAACGTTGTATGAACAATTAAAATTTCTTTTTTGTTTATTTGGTTAGGAGAGTCAAGCAGGGTATGAACTTTTACCTTTTTACTACCACCAACCAGAAGTCCTTTGCTATAGCTTTTCTAGAAAGGGTGATCAGAAAAAGAAGGAAAATTATTGCTATTCAAATGTTATTTGTGTGTGTGTGTGTGTGTGTGTGTGTGATTTAGAGAGAGAAAGAGAGAGTCTGTGTATATGTGATTCTTGTGTACTTTAATATGAAAGAAACTTAGAGCAGATATTATGTATGTGTTTTCAGTGGCATTCCTCACCTGCATTATCTCTCTTGTTACAATTAAGTCTGCCATTTAAATTCAATCATCATAAAAATGGATGTATTCTATTTTTATCCAATATATTGAGTGATATATATGTATGTATGTATATATATGTATGTGTGTATATATATGTATATATATACATACATACATCTCTAACTAGGATGTCTAACTTTTTTTTTTTTTTTAACCTATGCTTCCCGTTGACAAATGAGATCCAGAATACTAACTGAAATATCATGAGTAAAATCCAGGCAAGGTAAAATCGAAGTACTCCAAACACATACCCTCCCTCTACTTCCACCAAAATATCTTGAAGGATCTCTTCCCTTAATTCTCTCTCTTTCAGTATTACTACTTTTGGATCACTTAAGTAATAGAATTCATATAGAGAAAATGCTTTAAATTTTAATTCTCTTTGAGACTGAAGAGTAATAGTGTATACTAGGAAATATCAAGACAGCTTGTTGGGGTACGTGTTTGGCCTACTGGTTCACTATCTGTCTGTCTCTCTCCCTGTGTATCTGGCTTTCAAATATAAATAAAAATATTTTTTCAAGTTTGAGAGAACTACAGAATTTTTTTTTGAACTTTGTCTTTGGAGTTCAGTTTAAAATTTTAACAGAATTGACAGCTTTACTCTTTAAAATTTTTATATATAAATTTAATGCTTTCCTTAGAAATATACCTATTTCTCCAAACAATTCTGTCTTGAAAAGATAGTTGAATTAGTATCATTAATTTCTTAGAACAGGCTGATTATTCCTAATCCCTGAATCCAAAATGCTCTAAAATCTAAAAGTTTTTGAGCATTGACATGACACAAATGGAAAATTCCACATCAGATCTCATACGACAATTTGTAGTCAAAATATAGGTGTCATTTTGGGGCCGGTTCTATGGCGTAGTAGGTAGAGCTGCTACCTGCAGTGTCAGCATTCCATGTGGGTGCTAGTTCAAGTCTCAGCTGCTCCACTTCCGATACAGCTGTCTGCTATGGCCAGGGAAAGCAGCAGCAGATGGCCCAAGTCCCATAAATGCTGTATAAAATTACCTTGAAGCTTGAAAGGTGTATATGAAGCAGATGAATATCATATTTAGATTTGGATCCCATCCCTATGATCTCTTTTAATGTACTCATATATACAAATACTTGACAGTCCAAAAAAGTCTGAAATCTGAAATACTACTGATTCCAAGCATTTTAGATAAGCAACACTCAGCCTGTATATTCATTTCTGTTAATGGAAATAACTTTTTAGGTCATGCAGTAGACCATAATTTTGTAGCAGTCTAAAATCCAGGCACCAGTCTATACAAATAGTACATTTGCTTATTTTTTTTTAAAGATTAATTTATTTGAAAGGGAGAGTTATAGATAGGAAGAGTCAGAGGGAGAGAGAGGTCTTCCATCCGCTGGTTCCAATCCGCTGGACTGGAAAAGCAGCAGCCAGAAATGAGGTGCCAGCACTGCAGGTGGCGGCTTTATCCACTAGGCCAGAGTGCTGGCCTGCTCATTGGTTTTAAAAATCTGTGTTTCAGGGGCTGGCACTTTGGCATGGCGGGAAGGGCCGCCTCCTGCAGTGCTGGCATCCCATGTGGGCACCGGTTCCAGTTCCGGCTGCTCCACTTCTGATCTGGCTCTCTGCTATGGCCTGGGAAAGCAGTGGAAGATAGCCCAAGTCCTTGGGCCCCTGCACCCACATGGGAGAACTGGAAGAAGCTCCTGGCTCCTGGCTCCTGGCTTTGGATCGGCACAGCTCCGGCAGTTGTGGCCATCTGGAGAGTGGGCCAGCGGATGGAAGACCTCTCTCTCTGTCTAGACCTCTCTCTGTAACTCTGCTTTTCAAATAAATAAATAAATAAATATTTCTCTTAAAAAATCTGTTTTTTCCCAAAAACATATTTAGCTCATCAGATTTTGCATCTCTATGAAAAACTCTTTTGGAGGTTGCTTTTGGTTGGTTTTTATGTTGGTATTATGACACATAATACAAGAACATAAAAGTAACTGTTGATTAGATTAAGCATAGCGGGCTTAATAGGTTTTCAATCAACCTGAAAAAATAAAAGTTATGTTAACTAAGAACTGACAGTTCCAGTTTGCTGCATATATATAGTTGAAACCAAGCAGGCTACATCAGGTTGCTTACAGTATATCTTTTTTTTTTGACAGATAGAGAGAGAGAGACAGAGAGAAAGGTCTTCCTTCCATTGGTTCACCCCCCAAATGGCCGCTATGGCTGTCACTGTGCTGATCCGAAGCCAGGAGCCAGGTGCTTCCTCCTGGTCTCCCATGCGGGTGCAGGGCCCAAGCACTTGGGCCATCCTCCACTGCCCTCCTGGGCCACAGCAGAGAGCTGGATGGAAGAGGAGCAACCGGGACTAGAACCCAGCACCCATATGGAATACTGGCGCCACAGGCGGAGGATTAACCTAGTGAGCCATGGAGCTGGCCCCACTGTGTATCTTAATTAGCAAAATAATAAAATAGGAACCTTATTTTTATTAGAATGCCTGAGGCAGGGAGAAGGAGTAGGAAAGAGGGCATAAATGGTCCTAGCAGAGTGACTTAAGCCTAGCTGGCACTTAGAAATACTTAGAGATATTAATGCGTTTGTCTTCTCTGGACTCATCTCTTCTATGTCAGTGTTAGCCTATGTTAGTTCTCTGAGTACGTGAGCCTTTCTCTGTGGCCCGTCTCCGTGATCTGGGTTTTCTTTCTAGGTGCCTGCTGTATGAGCCCTAATCTCACACTCTATTTTCCCTTACCCTCTTTTGATATTTGGACTAAGCTAACCATTAAGTGACAAATGGTTATGAAAGAAATAGCTATTTGGAGCTACCATGTAATGTTTTACCATATCTTCTCTGCTGATTTTCTTAAAAAATCTTAAATACTTTTGTTTTAAATTCTATATGTGTTCTCCTGGTTTGGCACAGAGATACATATAACTTTCTTTTTTTTTTTTTTTTTTTTTAAAGATTTATTTATTTATTTGAAAGGCAGAGTTACAGAGAGGCAGAGGCAGAGAGAGAGAGAGAGAGGTCTTCCATCTCCTGGTTCACTCCCCAATTTGCTGCAGTGGCCGGAAATGTACCAATCCAAAGCCTGGAGCCTGGAGTGTCTTCTGGGTCTCCCATGCAAGTGCAGGGGCCCAAGAATTTGGACCATCCTCTCCTGCCTTCCCAGGCCACAGCAGAGAGCTAGATTGGAAATAAAGCAGCCGGGTCCCAAACCTGTGCCTACATGGGATGCCAGAACCGCAGGCGGCGTTTTCATGCACTATGCCACAGTGCTGGCCCCGACATAACTCGTTTTGAGGAAGGGAGTGGTAATTGCAACAGCTATAATTTCAGAGATCAGACTTTGGCTGCCATAACAGATATTGAAATTCTCTGGATCTGAAACCATTTTGAAAGTACTTTTTTCTTTAGCAGCAAGACAGAAAGGCAGTGAAGGCTGTACAGTTATTTTCCTTATTCTTCTCAGATTTGCTCTTGTTCTGTCAATATTTGAATTGGTTGGTTTGTGAGCCTTTTACATTTGGACACCAATTAATTGTTCACCTAAATTAAATACTTTCCTAAACTTTAAGTGGGTGAATTCAGTGGTATGCACATTATATATCAATAAAGCTGTTATTAACTTTTCTTTTTAATACATTTCACTTTATCATTACAGAAAGCTGTGTTCCTGCTCAAGTGGTGGCTGCAATTGATGTAAACACGGTCGCTAATGAAGTATATGAGTATAATTTTCCTCACACACTATTACTAGCCAAGACCATTGAAGTGAGTAATTATTTATTAAGTATAGAATAGGAAAATGTGGTTGAAAAGCCAAATATTAGTTTTTACTAGCCTAATTAGAAGATAAGTCATATATAAGTAAAGTTTAGGAGAAGAGAATTAGTATTTTATATTCTATCAGAAGAAAACAGGCTGTTTTCAAAAGAATTTCCACCTTAATTGAGAGACAGAGAGATCAGTTTTTTGATGTCTGAGGGGGAAGGGGTTGAGGTTTAAGATGCTTGGTTTTTAAATTGTTGATTCTATGGTGATATTAACCTTTATTTAATTCTTTGCTTTCAATCAATACTCACACAACATTTATAAACCATGTGGTGAAAACAGGGGACACAGTCATTGGCTATTACTTATTGAGTGCTAAGCAAACCTGTCAAAGTTAACCCTTTTCACCTATCATGAACTCAGCAGAAGTATTTAACACTCCTGTACAGTGAATGATTTTAAAAATAATGAAGTTATGCTTTGCCTCCCTATTTCTTGTTGTGAAAAGTTTTACATACTTATGTGCAGATCTTTATGTGAACCTTTGTTTTAATTTCTTATGGATAATAGGTAGGAGAGGAATTGCTCAGTTACATTTTTTTTTTAATTTATGAAAAAAAAAAAACATTTTACAAAGTGTTTTTTACCATCTTACAGTCCCAACGTCACTGTTTAAGTAACTTTCATATCCTTGTCAACACTTGCTGTTGTTAGTCATTTACATGTTAGTAATTTTATTAAGTGTCTAGTAGTATGATTTTAATTTTCATTTATTTGATGACTAATAATATTGAATTTCTTTTCATGTACTTATTGGCCATTTTTCTAGCTTCTCTGTCAAGAAGTTGCCCAATTTTTATGATTTAGGTGTTTCTATTATTTAGTTGTAAAAGTTTCTTATGTTTTCTAAATTCAACTTATTTGTCAGAAATAAGTATAAGTATCTTGTCCATTTCTGTACCTTGTCTGTTTTTTTAGTTCCTTAACTGTGTCCATCGAAGTTTAGATGTTTTTATATAATATATATATAACCTCCTATATATGTGTGTGTGTATATAAATATATATAAATGTCATGTTTTTTGTGTCCTAAGAAATCTTTGCTTACCTTATTTTCTCCCAGAAATTTTATAGCTTTGATTTTGACTTTAGGGTCTGTGATCCATTAAAGATTATTCTTTTGTGTTCAGTGTAAGGTATGGGTCAAAGTTTATTTATTTTTTCCAAGGGAATATAAACTTGTCCCAGCACTTTCTGCTGAAGCTTGTCCTTTCTCCAGTTACCTTGACAGCCCCCTGCCCCTTTTTAAAGTAGATCATGTACTTATATATGTGGGTCTATTTCTGAACCCTCTCCTCAGTAGTATCTCCATATTTATTCAAATACTAGTAATGCACTGTTTTGATTGTTATAGCTTTATAGTATATACTGAATTCAGTCAGTGTAAGTTCTTATACTTCTGTTTTCCTTTTCCAAGATTATTTTGGTTGTTTTTTACATTTCTTTTGTATGTTCCTTTTTATTTTATTTTAAAAAATTCATTACATTTATGTTCAAATTTTAGAATCAGTTTGCCAGTTCTACAAAAAGATACATTGATTATTGGTCAGTTTTGAGACAATTCAATCCTAGTAAAACTTGATTTTTCAGTGCATGACACAATATCTTCATTTATTTATGTCTCCTAAAATTTCTATCAGCAATATTTTGTAATAATTAGTGTGTAAGTCTTACATGTGTGGTGATTAATTTATCCCTAAATATTTATGGGTTTGATGGTATTATAAGTTTTTTAAAAGGTTTTTGCTGATTTATTTTGTTTGACACAGAGAGAGAGAGAGAGAGAGAGAGAGAGAGAGAGAGAGATTTTCCATACTCTGGTTTACTTCCCTAATGTCCACAACAGCCAGGGCTGGGTGAGGCCGAAGCCAGGAACCTGGAACACAATCTAGGTCTCCCTAGAGACCTATGTGGTAGGGACTCATGTTCTTGAACCATCATCAGCTGCCTCCCGGGGTTGTCATTAGCAGGAAGCTGGTTCAGAAGCAGAGTAGCTGGTACTTAAATCAGGCGACTCTGGTAGGGGATGTGTGTGTCCTATGTCACAACTTAAGTGCTGTGCCAAATATCAGCACCTATGGGACAGTTTTTCACTATGAATCTTTTCCATTTTATGTAGTTAGTTATTTTTTAAGGATTTGTTTATTTATTTTAGAGGCAGAGTTACAGAAGGAGAGAGAGAGAGAGAGAGAGAGGTCTTCCATCCGCTGGTTCACTCCGCAGCTGGCCACAATGGCCAGAGCTACGCCAATCTGAAGCCAGGAGCCAGGCGCTTCTTTTGGGTCTCCCATGTGGGTGCAGAGGCCGAAACACTTGGGCCACCTTCCACTGCCTTCCCAGGCCATTAGCAGAGAGCTGGATTGGACAAGGAGCTTCCAGGACAGGAACAGATGCCATATGGGATGCGGGCCCTGCAGGCAGGGGCTTAACCTACCACGTCACAGTGCTGCCCCCTCCATTTTATTTAATTTGTCAAATTTATTGACCTAAAGTTTTACAGATTTCATGACATTCTTTTTCTGTCTGTATCATCTGTAGTGATATTCTCTCTTTCATTTTGACTGTTAGCACTATTATTCCGTTGCTGAAACTAGGGATTTACCCATGGATCTTTTTAAGTAACCGGGTTTGGGTGCAGTTGCCTATCTTTTTTTTTTTTTTTCCATTTGCTTAATATTTTACTAATTTCTTCTCAACTTTATTATTTCCTCAAAGTTTATCTTTAGTTATCCTTCTTTTTATACTTCCTACATTGAAATTTGGGGATCATTCTTTTAAAAATATAAACATTTAATTATCTTTTTTTTTGACAGGCAGAGTTAGTGAGAGAGAGACAGACAGAGAGAAAGGTCTTCCTTCCGTTGGTTCACCCCCCAAAATGGCCGCTACGGCCAGCGCGCTGCACTGATCCGAAGCCAGGAGCCAGGTGCTTCCTCCTGGTCTCCCCTGCGGGTACAGGGCCCAAGCACTTGGGCCATCCTCCACTGCCTTCCCGGGCCACAGAAGAGAGCTGGACTGGAAGAGGAGCAACAGGGACATCTGGTGCCCCGACCGGGACTAGAACCTGGTGTGCCGGCGCCGTAGGCGGAGGATTAGCCTAGTGAGCCGTGGTGCTGACCTTAAAAATATAAACATTTAAAGCTAAAAATTTTTACCAAGTTTTGGCTGTATTCCACAAATTTTCCTATGTCATATATTCACTTTAAGTTCAGAAGATTTTTAATTTCCTTTTTAGCTTGTGTGTTATTTATGATTTTAAATTCCAATTATTTGGGAATTATCTACATAACTCTATTGCTGATTTCTAAGTCTGTGTAATCACTGTTGTGCTCCATATGTTTCTAGTTATTTTGAATTTGCTGAGGCTTGTGTTTTGGCCCATGGTGCAGTTGGTCTAGTAAATGCCCTGTGTGCTTTTAAAAAGAATATGTGTTCTATTTTGGTTGATTATAAGGCCTTATAACTGTCTGTTAGGTAAAGTTGGTTGATAGTGACATTCAGTTTTTCTATATCCTTATTTATATTTTTTGTCTGCCTTTCCTATCATTTGCTGAATAAAGAGTATTATAATCTCCCTGATATAATTATGAATTTGTCTATTTCTCCTCATTGGTTTTGTTTCATTTTGTCTGAAAGCTCTGTTATCAAGTATTCTCTTTATTTGTTTTCTTCATTGATTGATCCTTTTATCATTATTAAATGTCCCTCTGTATCCCTAGGTATATTTGTTGTTCTGAAGCCTACTTTTTCTGATATTAGTATAGCCATTTCAGCTTTCTTAGGACTAGTGTTTGTGCTTATATATTTTTCCATTTAAAAATTTTATCATACATATGCTTTTTTTTTTTTTTTTTGACAGGCAGAGTGGACAGTGAGAGAGAGAGACAGAGAGAGAAAGGTCTTCCTTTGCCGTTGGTTCACCCTCCAATGGCCGCCGCTGCAGCCGGCGCACCGCGCTGATCCGATGGCAGGAGCCAGGATCCAGGTGCTTTTTCCTGGTCTCCCATGGGGTGCAGGGCCCAAGCACTTGGGCCATCCTCCACTGCACTCCCTGGCCATAGCAGAGAGCTGGCCTGGAAGAGGGGCAACCGGGACAGAATCTGGCGCCCCGACCGGGACTAGAACCCGGTGTGCCAGCGCCGCAAGGTGGAGGATTAGCCTATTGAGCCACGGCGCCGGCCCATACATATGCTTTTTTTATTTAAATTGCATTTATTGTATATACCATATACTTGGGTTTTGCGTTTTTTTTTTTTCATTCTGACAGTCTCTGTCTTTCCTTTAATTGGAATCTTATAACATTTAAATTTAATCTTATCAATGTTGTTGGGTTTAACTCAACTATCTTGTTATTTGTTTTCTATTTATCTTATCTGGTTCTTGTTTCTTTTTTCCTCTATACTTTCATTCATTTGGATTTTTTTAAGATTTCGCTAGTTTTCTTTTTATTTTATTTTATACTCATAAGATTAACCCTACACTAAGTAAAGAATACAAAAAATAGTAATAAGATAAAAACAGTTGCTCAACAGTAGAAATAAGAAATTATCGAATCTCAGAATGTCAATTTCATTCATATATATTACATTTTTTTGTGCTCTATTAATTACCACACATCAGGGAAAATGTATGGTATTTGTCTTATTGGGACTGGCTTATTTCATTAAGTATATTGGTTTCCAGTTGCATCCATTTTGTTGCAAAAGACAGGATTTCATTCTTTTTTACAGCCGAATAGTATTCTATTATATATATTATATATACCCACAGTTATTATTATATATAATATATATCCCACAATTTCTTTATCCATTCATCAGTTGATAGGCATCTGGGTTGATTTCATATCTTAGCTATTGTACATTGAGGTACAATAAACATGAGGGTGCAGATAACTCTTTCATATATTGATTTCATTTCCTCTGGATATATTCCCAGGAGTGGGATGGCTGGATCATATGGTATACTTATTTTCATTTTTCTGAAGTATCTCTGTACTATCTTCCACAATGGCTATACTAGTTTACATTCCCACCAACAGTGGATTAGGATACCTTTTTCACCAGATCTTCACATGCGTTTATTTAGTTTTTTGATTTCTGTATGGGAGCCATTCTAACTGGGGTGAGGTGAAACCTCATTGTGGTTTTGTTTTGCATTTCCCTGATGGCTAGTGACCCTTCATATGGAAACACAGAATACACCCCTACTCCAATAGCTAAAGCAGTCTTAAACAACAAAAACAGCCAGAGGCATCACAATAGCACATTTCAAGACATACTGCAGGGCAGTGATTATCAAAACAGCCTGATACTGGCATAAAAATAGAAATGTAGATGAATGGAATAAAATAGAAACTCCAGAAATCAATCCACATATCTATAACCAACTAATATGACAAAGGAGCTAAAATCAATCTCTGGAGAAAGGATGGTCTCTTCAATAAATGGTGCTGGGAAAATTGGATCTCTATGTTTAGAAGTGTGAAACTAGACCCTACCTTACACCTTAATGCAGAAATCAACTCATAATGGATGAAGAATCTAAATCTACAACCTGAACCATGAAATTACTAGAGGATAACATTGGGGAAACTCTGCAACATATTGGCATAGGCAAGGACTTGTTGGAAAAGAACCCAGATGTACAGGCTATCAAAACAAAAATAGACAAATGGGATTACATCAAGCTAAGAAGCTTCTGTACTGCAGAGAGAATACTCAGCAAAGTGGAGAGGCAACTGACAAAATGGGGGAAATATTTGCAAACTATGTAACTAATTAAGAATTAATATATAGAATCTATAAAGAACTCAAGAAACTCAACAACAACAAAACAAAGAATCCAGTTAAGAAACGGGCAAAGGACTTTACAGGTCTTTTTCAAAAGAGAAAATTCAAATGGCCAACAGACTTATGAAAAAATGCTCAGGGAAATGCAAATAAAAGCCCTATTTTTAATGATGAACTCTAAAGAAGAAAGAGTATATCGTGTCTAGGCCAAATGTATAGGAACTACATTGAGGGTCATGTTTAAAAAGGGAATACAGGCTAGCGCCATTGTTCACTAGGCTAATCCTCCGCCTGTGGCGCCAGCACCTCAGGTTCTAGTCCCTGTTGGGGCGCCGGATTCTGTCCCGGTTGCTCCTCTTCCAGGCCAGCTCTCTGCTGTGGCCCAGGAAGGCAGTGGAGGATGGCCCAAGTGCTTGGGCCCTGTACCCACATGGGAGACCAGGAGGAAGCACCTGGCTCTTGGCTTCGGATCAGTGCAGCACGCTGGCTGTAGCGGCCATTTGGGGGGTGAACCAATGGAAGGAAGACCTTTCTCTCTGTCTCTCTCTCACTGTCTGTCTGTTAAAAAAAAAGGGTGGGGGATACAGGTGCCTATTCTGTGGTGTCACAGGTTAAGGTATTGCTTGCTATGCTGCCATCCCATGTCAGTAGGCTGATTTGAATCCTGGCTGCTCCACTTCTGATCCAGCTTCCTGCTAGTGTGCCCTCTCCCTTTCCCTTTCCCTTAACCTCTTCCTCCTCACCCTCTCCCTGGCTCTCTACTTTTCAAATAAATAAATAAATTCTAAAGTGAAGAAATGAATAGTGGATAGAGAGATGGACATTTGGTGTAGCATTTATAATACCATGTGGAACTCCCACATCTCACATCAGAATTCCTGGGTTGGGATTCCAGCTCTTACTAGTATATACCTGAGAGGCAGCAGGTGATGGCTCAAGTACATGCGTCCATGCCACCAACAGAGATCTAGACTAAGTTCCAGGCTCCTGGCTTCCTCCTGAAACAGCACCAGCTATTGCGCACACATGGAAGAACCAATAGATGGAAGATCTCTCCCTCTGTGTCTTTCAAATTAATTAATTAATTTTAAAACATTAAAAAGAAGATAGAAGATTAATGGGGAACTGAAGAATGATGAGAGGCTTTAGGAAGTTTATGTCCTATACCACATGTAATAGTTATTTGGACATGCGTTTTGTGCAAGGCATTGAGTTCTTAGAGAAAATACGTATTTGTCTAAGATACTAATTTTGTCTCCAATAAACTTACTAATTACTTCAGAAGTTAAATTTAGTATTCTTTAGGACTTCTGATGGAATGTGGCATAATAAAGATACTCTACTTCCAAATTTCTGCTTCTTTTTCTAATAGAAATAAGAGAAGCGAAAATTATAATGAAAATGATTTATCTATAAGCCAAAATAAAAAAGATAATTATGAAGACTAGAGCCGTAATTGAAAGAGACAGAGACACACTTGAAAAGGATAGTAACTGGTCAATGTATCATGTTTGATAAATAGAAAGCATTATTGATAGGTAGGCACTTAAGAGTTTCCTAGACTGGATTCTCAAACCATTAATTATAAAATTCTCCATGCAACTGATTCCAGAAAACAGAGTGCTATTACATCTGAGGCATCACAGAGGCACAAAGTGCTTGGGATCCAAGGAACTACTGTTCTAACTCTGCTTTGGCTGGCTCTGGGACCTTGAAGGAAGTTGCTTAATGTCTCATAGCTTTAGCTTACTACTGCATTTCCTTTCCAAGATTGTTTCTGGAAGTTAGTTTGACTAAAATTGACTTGAAAAGTATTGTGTTATGTAAACTGTTATAATTTCTGTTATATTTAGTTATAATTACCATTTTTCTTTCTTCATTCTTTTGATATTTTCATATTCCTTTTCCCCCAAATGTTTATTCCTTAGGGCATTACACTAGAAGAATTTGACAAGTTATCTTTCAATATGATTTTAATGAGCCCTCCATGTCAGCCATTCACAAGGTATGTGCAATTAATATTTTTATGTTGAGAAGGAGTACTTAATGATGTCCATCAACTGTAGCTTTTAGTCTTGAAATTTTTCCCAAATAATTCTGTTCATCTGCTCATTTACAATTCAGCAATAATCATTAAGTAAATAGCAGTTATTGCCAGAAGAACAAAATAATTTGATAAACAGTAGATATGGAAGACTGATAGGTTTCTTTTATACCTACATAAGAAAATATTTATTTCTGGCCTAAATTACCTTAATTTATTTAAACTAATGAGCATTCAGGAATAACTTTCCAATACTGATTAAAGTGGATTTCCATAATGAAAGTCCTAAATTATTTAAATGTAACATTTAAAAACAATTTAAACATGCATTGTGCATTTTACGTTTTTAAAAATTTCTGTGTACACTTAATTCTGAATTCCGGAATACCCACATTGCAGTTTCTTCATTTGAAAATTATATATAGTATTTATTTGATTATATCTCAGGGAGTTATTACATCTCAAATGAAATCTTGACTAATTTACCTTCATTTTAGACCTTTGTAATAACAATAAATTATTTTTAATACTGGTCATAATCCTTTAAGTCTTACAGGGAACATATCATTTAATTTAACATGCTTATAGGCTGGGCATTGCTGTTATCATTATTTTACAGTTGAGAAACTGAGACATAGAAAGGTTAAGTAATGTTCCCAAGGATACAAAATTAGGGACAGTTACAGCCAGAATTTATGAATCATTTTATCTATTCCTGTTTTAATATATATGCTTTAAGTGGAATATAATGTAATAAATATTCTAATTCAAATGAATATTGTCATGCTAAATTTTACAGCTCCTTAGGAAACTGATTCCATGAGGATTTGTTCTACTGTTTTATTGCCAGATATCATTTTTGATGCTGTAGATCTTGTTTTTAGAGAGCTTGTAGTCTAATGAAAATGATTGACAAATCACATTTTATAATGTGAAATAAGATATATAGTAAAGGAATACTGAAAAGTGCCAGGAGATCACAGAGGAGAAAATGGCTTGCTGCATACCAGGAGAGGAGAATTCTTTCAGAGGTGATGTCTGAACTGAGGTTGAAAGCAGATTAGGAGTTTTATCAGAGAAGGGAAGGAACATCTATATAAAGATGCTGTCAAGCATTTGTAAGGGTGTGGACTGTTGAGTGCAATGTGTAGGATAGGACAGAATGCAGTTCCAGCACAGGGAAGCTTCCTATGTCATTGCTTTGCCTGCCCCTCTCCCAACCAAAATATCTTCCCTCCTACTACCCCAGCCACGTGTTAGCCCAAATCTAGCTGCTGAAGGCAATGTAACTGATTGTGTAATCATTATTATTAAGATCTTATGGGAAAGAGGCAAAATGAGAATTGAAGATTGCTGTGGAATCTGTTAAGTCCAGTCTAATCTGTTAGCTGAGCCTCAGATCCACTGATTGTTTTGGTCCTGCTGGGAGGTATGAGGAAAGGAAATGCTGTCAAGTAACTTATTGATTACTATGAAACTAATAAGTAACACAGATTTAGATCTAGGTCCTCTGTTCTCCTACTCAGAACCAGTCCAAGCTTCCTTTCGGCTTGATCCTTGATCATGTTGCAAGCCTCACTTCTAAGACCAAGTGCTCACTCTAATACTGACTGTTTACAAGACCCATCTTGACCCTAGTTGATCTAACCAAGCTGTAACTCCTGCTTGTCCTATGGCTTAAGTCTTTCCTATTTACTTGGACAAGATTGAGTCTTACCTACTTCTTTTATCTGCTTATGTCTTGTTTAGTCACCAATGCTATCAGCTCCAGGTGGCTACCCTGGGGCCCATTCATCTGAACTGTTGTCTTACTTTGGTCACAACGAAAGGTGTCCTGGGCCAATTTGTGTGTGTGTGTATGTGTGTGTGTTAAACAGGATGATTTTAAGGGAGTAATTGTTTTTCTCACTAACTTGTACTTTTTTGTTTCAGGTAAGTTAATTATACTGTTTTGCAAAAGTAACATTTTAAGTGTATTGATATCAGATGCAAGGTCTTTTTATTTTTAATTCAATGAGTAAATGCTTTTAGTTTTCTATAGCAACAAAGATAATCATGTTTTTGTGAAGATCAGCTTATTTTAATTCTCTGCTTTGACTTTTTAAAAGTGATCTAATATCGTTATAGAAGATTCTTCATATATGTTTTTGTGCTTTCTTTATTACTTTAGAATTGGCCTGCAGGGTGATATGACTGATCCAAGGACCAATAGCTTCTTATATATTCTAGATATTCTTCCCAGGTAAAATCGTAGATTCCTGTTCAAATTTCCTTTATTACTTTTAATTTATTTATTTATTTGAAAGGCAGAGTAACAGAAAGAGATGGACAGACACAGAGATCCTCCATTCACTGGTTCACTCCCCAAATGGCCACAACAGCCAAGTCTGGACCAGGCTGAAACCAGGAGCCAGGAACTCCATTCATGTCTTTAACACGAGTGGGCCATCATCTTCTGCTTTCCCAGGCCAATAGCAGGAAGCTGGGTGTGAAGCAGAGCAGCTGGGACTGGTGTTCAGAAACAGGATTTTGTTGCAAACTGGCTTAACACTATGTGTCACAATGTCAGCCCTGTTACATGCTTGCTTTAACTGCAAAACTGTGGGTCTAGAAGAATGTTATGTTTTTCACTTTGTAAAGATTAACATTTTATATGTGCTCCATTCAGACACTATTCACATCATTTTATCTTCTTTTGCCATGACTAGTAGAATAACTACAAATGTTTCAAGTTTCTGCACTTGCCACCATAGTGAGTGACAGGGAATCACAGTCTAATATCTCAGTTCTGTTACTTGTGCTCATAGCAGTAATTCAAATGATGCTAATGTTGTTGATGAATGTTGTTACTGATGGCCTGGAAATGTGTGCTAACCCTGGAAGCTGCCATCTTTTGTGAATGAAAGTTCTTTGAGTTGTGCAATGCAAAAGCCTTGTGCAAACCCATGTTTTGAGAAGCTTGAATGGAAATTAACATTTCCTACTTACTTTGTCAAATGTGCCCTGCTTATGGGGAAATGTGAGTAAAATATGAATTGTCTTTAACATATAAAATTCTGTTGTAAAAAAAGAATTCAGAAAATACTTACCTCATATTTTCCATAGCAGTCATTTTCTTTGCTTTTTACTTCTTAGTAATGAGATATTTGGAATTCCATTTGTTTTTGTTTTTTCAGATTACAAAAATTACCAAAGTATATTCTTTTAGAGAATGTTAAAGGTTTTGAAGTATCTTCTACAAGGTAAGAACTGTATTTGTCTTGATACATCATAGATATGGCATATTTTATAGTAGGAATACTTACGAAAACAAGATCTGAAAAAATGTGCATTCTGACATTTCATATGTATTATATATTTTATTCATTTGTATTGATTTTGACTAACAATGGAAAATATTTTATATAGCTTTGTTTAGCTGATTCTCTCCCATTTATATATGTTTGAATTTTTCCAGTATGAGTACTTGTTTAAATGAAAACATTTCCTTTTTTTTAAACATGTGTCCTTAGAGAAAACAACACTTTTTTTTTTCTATTTATTTATTTGACAGGTAGAGTTATAGACGGTGAGAGAGAGAGACAGAGAGAAAGGTCTTCATTCCGTTGGTTCACCCCCCAAATGGCCGCTATGGCCAGCGCACTGCACCAATCCAAAGCCAGGAGCTTCTTCTTGGTCTTCCATGTGGGTGCAGGGCCCAAGCACTTGGGCCATCCTCTACTGCCTTCCCGGGCTACAGCAGAGAGCTGGACTGGAAGAGATGCAACTGGGACTAGAACCCGGCTCCCATATGGGATGCCAGCACCGCAGGAAGAGGATTAACCTAGTGAGCCATGGCGCCGGCCCCTGAAAATGATATTTCTTAATTTAGTCACTTCTATTGATGTCTGTTTCTTTTGAAACGGGAATGTTTTCATGCAAATCGGTCCTACTGAAAGGCAGTTTCTGCTCTATTGTTGGATACAAGAAGAAGCTGTAGGTCAGGTTTCCTTTAGATGACAGCCCAGGCAGCGCGAAAGCATCCAAATCCTTGATTCTGTTGTTCTCTACAATGGAATTCCTATCTGATTTGATATATTGAAGATATTATTCTTGTTTCCATATTAAACTTATCATTAGCAGATTAAGGATTCAGAATTCAGACTTCCATTAGAATAAATTATCTGGCAGCTTTATATTTCTAATAGAAAATTATTATTTAATTTCTTAAGTTCTGGACTTTAATATATCATATTTTTAAGCAACTTAATTGGGGTTAAACACTTTCCACTTTAAATGAGTTTTTATGTATAATATTTTACATAACAGCACCATTTCCAAGTAAAGAGTGAAAGCTTTTCTTTCCTTTTTCTTTTCAGAGATTTATTGATACAAACAATGGAAAATTGTGGCTTTCAGTACCAAGAATTTTTATTGTCTCCAACCTCTGTAGGTACTACAATTATAAACCTTTATTTACAAGTTAAATTAAAAAGTTTTATTCCCCCTGAAGCAATTTGATTTGATAAATCCTCTATTTTGGATAATATTATAGGTAAATCTTAAAATTAGTTATTTCTAAAGAATATAGTATATGCATGTAGATTCCCTTATGTGTATTTTATGAAAGATTTTATATCTTGAAACTCATAAGGAATATGTATTTCTTTAGGAGAATAAAGGCCAACATGTTTTGAAAATATGTGAAGCTGGATATTTCCAAGCTAGGTGTGCTATAGCTTAGTAACGCTTCAAAATAATCCAAAATTGAAAACCAGATGATTATTTTTTGATGACATAACATTAATTTGCAAATGTTGCTTTTATTTCATATTTAAAGATATTGAAGTAGTTGGTTATGATAAGTTATTTGACAAATTTTGATTTTGCAAGTATTATATTTTTTGTTATTGTTCTTCTTAAGTTCTTACCATCTTTAGCCATCTCATATAGTTCTTTGCCCAGATATTAGAAGAAAAATCATTTCAAAAAATAGATATACAAGGTATGGAAATTGACATATATGAAGTTGAAATATCTGAACTCTTTAAATTTATTCATATTTCTTGCCTCTTCATTTTTGAAATATAATGAGACCTCCTTAAAGGCAGAGAGAGAGAGGGAAAAAGGTTATATCATTATATTCATAGAATTGTATATATGAACTATATTGAATCTGTTCTGTTTATATATTAATATTGCATTAAGTGATGCAGTCATTCATCAGAATCTATCTACCTAATTCAAATATAGGTACAGAGCTGCAGTTTAACAGGCTTAGAACGTAATACAAAGAAGTCTTCTGTAAATCAGTACTAGAATTTTCTCTAGCAGAAGCTGAGTGTATAGCATGTGAGTTTTTCTTACTGGGTGCAAAGTGAGTGGCAGATCTCTCTAATTTCCTATAGTAACTAACTGCTGTGCTTTATTTGCAGCTTGGCATTCCAAATGCAAGGCTAAGGTATTTTCTTGTTGCAAAACGTCAGTCTGAGCCATTACCTTTTCAGGCTCCTGGTCAGGTATTGTTATTGTTTATTTATTCAGATACATCCATTTGCTGACTTATTTTCAAGAACCCTTTTGTGCAGGTTTATATGCGTCCTGTAGTGCCTGTAGCATAGACTGTATCCTACGTTCATCTTCAGGACCTTTTTCTTCTCCTGATGTAGCTTTTATTAGTTCAGTGAAAACAAAAACAAGATGAAAAACAAAAAATCTTCATTAAAATATAAGTTAAATGTGAAATATAGTAACCACTTATGTTTTTGTCCTGCTTTTCCTCTCTCTATAACTTCTCTTCTGATCATTGACTATTTTGGATTTATTATTTTCCTTTTCCAATTGAAGCCATTGGTTAAATTTAAGATATCCTATCTTAAAAATGGCTCGAATATTTTAGCACATGATTGCATTTTCTGTAAAGCCAATGCTATTTAGCTTGATTAAAATATGGGAATAGGCCGGCACCGCGGCTCAATAGGCTAATCATCCACCTACGGCGCCGGCACCCCAGGTTCTAGTCCTGGTCGGGGCGCTGGATTCTGTCCCAGTTGCTCCTCTTCCAGTCCAGCTCTCTGCTGTGGCCCAGGAGTGCAGTGGAGGATAGCCCCAGTCCTTGGGTCCTGCACCCACATGGGAGACCAGGAGAAGCACCTGGCTTCTGCCTTCAGATCGGCACAGTGTGCCGGCTGCAGCAGCCATTGGGGGGTGAACCAATGGAAAAGGAAGACTTTCTCTCTGTCTCTTTCTCTCACTGTCCACTCTGCCTGTCAAAAAATAAAAATAAAATAAAATATGGGAATAATTAGTACAAGCCAAAATGAAATGTTCAATTGCTATAGATAGAGTCTCTAACAGTTCAATTGCTGTAGATAGTTTCTAACAATCTGAGCAGCTATGTGTGCTTCAGGTGAATGAATGAAGGTGAAAAACAGTTTCAGTAGTTCAGTGACACTCACTACAAGTAAATACTCGAAAGTTCCATCCTGCTACAGGGGAGCCATTGTATTATTTGAATTTCCTGTAATATTAATGAATCTCCCTTTTTATAGTGGAGAATTCCAAAAGCATTGTATAAAGTTTTAGCAAAGACTTTATCCCTAAAAATGCCTGAAAGTTTTTTTTTTTAATAAAATGGAATTTCATGGTTCTGTTTTATAGAAGCAAGTTTTTCCTTTGAGACTCATGAGTAGAAATAAACTTTCATGGTGAAAAGCAATTTTTTTTCTTTTCTTTTCTTTCTTTCTTTCTTTTTTTTTTTTTTTTTTTTTGACAGGTAGAGTTAGACAGTGAGAGAGAGAGACAGAGAAAGTCTTCCTTCCGTTGGTTCACCCCCCAAATGGCTGCTATGGCCGGTGCGCTGCGCTGATCTGAAGCCAGGAGCCAAGTGCTTCCTCCTGGTCTCCCATGCGGGTGCAGGGACCCAAGCACTTGGGCCATCCTCCACTGCACTCCTGGGCCACAGCAGAGAGCTGGACTGGAAAGGAGCAACCAGGACAGAATCCGGCGCTCCAACCAGGACTAGAACCCGGGATGCTGGTGCCACAGGCGGAGGATTAGCCTAGTGAGCCACAGTGCCGGCCGATTTTTTTTTTCAATTACTAGTTTTCTTGAAGATCATGGGTATGTTCCAGTTTCTCCTTTTATTGAAAGAATTTGACAGACTTTCTAGAAATGTTAATGTTGGTTTCTAAGCTTCTTTTCCAAATGTCATACTGTATCTATATTCCACACACTTCCTATTATTTTGTTTGATGTTTTTATTAATAAATACAAAAACAGTAACTCCATGAGGTAAATCTTCCATAATCTAATGGCAGTAAATATATAAGTAACTTATATATGAGTACTATCTTACAATAACTGTACAAGTATTCCACAGTTTCTGTCTTTTTAATGGTAATCCTAGAAAGGCTGAAGATATTTTTGTATAGTGTTGACTAGATGTTACTAATCTGTCTTTTATTTTTGATAAAGCTTTTGACAGTTTGTGCATTTTTACTTAATGCCAGGTACTGATGGAGTTCCCCAAAATTCAATCTGAATATCCACAAAAATATGCAATAGATACAAAACAGAAAAGTGAAGAAAAGGAAATCCAACCAAATATTTGTTTTGATGGGAGCACACTGTGTTCTGCAAAAGATACTGTTCTTTTTAAGCTTGAAACTGCAGAAGAAATTGAAAGGAAACGACAACAGGACAATGATACATCTGTGCAAATGCTGAAAGATTTTCTTGAAGATGACATTGACATGAACCAATATTTTTTGCCACCAAAGTCATTGCTGCGATATGCTCTTTTATTAGATATTGTTAGGCCCACGTGTAGAAGGTCCACTTGCTTTACCAAAGGGTAGGTCTTAAAGAGACTTTGCTCATGTTATATCCAAAATAACCAGGTGTTTTGTTTTGTTTCATAGCTGTTGTTTATTTTAATACTTAAAATAAGGAGCATTTTGTAAAATGTTTCTGCTAGGTTGATTTGTGTGTGTGTGTGTGTGTGTGTCCCTCGTTGCCTGCTTTGTGTTTCAGTGGAACATGAGTGAAAATTCCTTCTGGCAGAACATTATGTGCATCGTGCACAAAAGTGTTCCTAAGACAAGGCTCTTTGATATTCATAGGAACTTAAATACCCATGATGGAAATGTTTTCTGTAGCTTGTCACTTGATCATTTTTTAGGGCTTTCTTTCCATGGCATATCAAACCTCAAAGAATTAAGTCCACTCTCATGATCAATGTGTAAGAAGAAATTAATTTTAATATAAAGAAATAATAGTTGAATCATCTGGGGCATGTTAGGGTAATTTTTTTAAAGATTTATTTATTTATTTGAAAGTTGGAGTTACATAGAGAGAGAATGAGAGGCAGAGAGAGAGGTCTTCCATCAGCTGGTTCACTCCCCCAACGGCTGCAATGGCCAGAGCTGCGTTGATCCAAAGCCAGGAGCCAGGAGCCAGGAGCTTTTTCTGGGTCTCCCACATGGGTGCAGGGGCCTAATGACATGGGCCATCTTCTACTGCTGTCCCAGGCCATGGCAAAGAGCTGGATTGCAAGTGGAGCAGCCGGGATTTGAACTGGCGCCCATATGGGATGCCGGCACTGCAGATGGCAGCTTTACCCACTACGCTACACCACCGGCCCCAGGGTAATTTTTAAACTTAAATTTTATTCTGTTTTTAAACAAGTAATATATTCCCATGATCCAAAATTCAAAAGATACTAAGATTGTAAGACTCACTTCTACTTCTGTCTCTTGGTCATCCAGTGTTCTTCTCTATTTGCAATTCTGTGATATCAATTTTCTATATAATAATCTTTCAGAGATACTGTTCTTGAGGGTGTGTTTAAATGCATATTCTTATTCCCTCTTTGAATAAATGGTAACATACTGTATACAATATTATGTGCTCTTTGTTCACTGCACAATATAAATTAGATGTTTAATAGTGCATAAAGGTCTTTTTTTTTTTTAAACTTTTTTTATTTAAGAGGTAGAGTTACAGAAAGAAGGAGAGACAGAGAGAAAGGTCTTCCATCCACTGGTTCACTTCCCAAATGGCCACAATTGGTTAGAGCTGAGCTGATTCAAAGCCAGTATCTAGGAGCTTCTTCTGGGTCTCCCATACGGGTGCAGGGACCCAAACAGTTGGGCCATCTTCTATTGCTTTCCCAGGCCGTAGCGGAGAGCTGGATCAGAAGAAGAGCAGCTGGGACATGAACCAGCGCCTGTATGGGATGTTGGCACCACAGGCGGAGGCTTAGCTTACTACACCACAGCGTCAACCCCTTTCTTTCTTTTTTTCAAAGATTTATTTATTTGAAAGGCAGAGTTACAGAGAAGGAGAGGAAGAGGAGAGAGAAGTCTGCTATCTGCTGGTTCACTCCCTAAGTGGCTGCAATGGCCAGGGCTGGGCCAAGCCAAAGCCAGGAACCGGGAGCTTCCTTCTGATATCCTATGTGGGTACAGGGACCCAAGCACTTGGGCCATCTTCTGCTGCTTTCTCAGATACATTAGCAGAGAGCTGTATTGGCAGTGGAGCAGCCAGCTCTCAAACCTGTGCCTATATGGTATGTTGGAGCTGCAGGTGGCAATTTAACCCACTACACCACAGCGCCGGCCCCTAAAGGCCTTTTCTGTTCTCATGATGTATATATTGTAATTCATTTTATTGGTTATCTCTTGATGTAAATTTTTGGGATTCCTCTGAGTAGTTTCTCAAATTCTTAGTATGTTTTTCATCAACTTGTTTAAACCTGTAAATCAAGACAACTCTTAGGTCTTTTCAGGAAAGTGTTACTAAAGGTCCCTATCTCTGCTTTGTGAATGTTCTTCAACCTCATTTGATAAGTAGGTCTATGGTATCATAATTCAAGCCTTCTCTTTTTACCTAAGAGCAAGCTATCTCAGACAATATACTGTGCTCTGATATAGTCATACTAGAACTTTTGATTTTGTCATACTCTGCCCTGTACTTCCAGGGAAAAGAATTTATTGCTCTCTGCTGCCTTAAAAGACTGCACTCAGCTCTTGTCTATCGCCATGTCCAATAGGTTCTATTTAGGACTCATAAAACAAGACTTATCAAATTTGTAATAAAAAACAACCTTGAAATTCTTCTGTAATCATAAAGATGATATAGAGAGGCTGTACTGTAAAAGTCTACTGTGGATAATATATACACACACATGTTTATATATGTGTGATATACATGAGAAAACAATTTGTTTCCCTGGTGTGACCTTTTGTTCTCTACTTTATATTTTAAATTTTCTTCTTGGAGGAAAAAATAATGTTAATATATTGAACAGCTTGGCAATGGTATTAGAAATATTACTAGCACTTTGCATTTCTGAGGTCTTCTTCGCAATTTATTTTTAATCTTACGGTCTTATTATTATATGAACAATATAAGTGAAAATGTGCTGTGTTACATGAGAGGCTGCCCCAGGCTCAATAAACTGCTCATCGTGGTGCTAGAGAATAGGGTTTTGGATTCCTGAGAAGAAATGATGGTTCAGGCATTATCACAACCAGCAGCAACTTACCGTCATGTACGTGACGTTTGGTTTACTGTGGCAGAAATGCTGATACAGAGCAGCATTTGAATATAAAGTATATTTTCTACTGGAAACACTGCCATGTGTGGTTCCTGAAAATTTCAGCTAGCTTTATCGTATATCTTTTAATTAGTAATTTTTCAGTTACAAAGCATGTTTATGTGATATAATTTAAGATATATCAAAAGCATGTAGCTATGTAAATTGTTTAATTCATTCAAGAAATATTTATGAAATTTCCCATTAACAAATACATTAGGTGTTGCTTAATATCTATGTTAATTTTTCAGCTATGGAAGCTATATTGAAGGGACAGGATCGGTGTTACAGACCACAGAAGATGTGCAGGTATGCCCTATATTATGAAATGAAAATATTTGAAAACTTATAAAGAATACTACATTTAATTTAAGAATGTTAAAATAGCCTTACAAGTTCAACTGGGGATGAATATATACATATATTATTCATTCATTGATACTCATATGTATTCATATAAAGTGTTTATTGTCAAATAAGTCTTAGTTTTCTTGTTGCTGTATATAAGCTTATGCACAAGGGATGTTTTGTGTTTTGTTTTCCCATTTTCCTACATTGTGTATTTCTTTGTATTTCATAAATAGTCATTGAAATTTGCTCTACAGTAAATATTCTACAAAATTTTGCACAAACATCTTAATATTGCAGATTTCCTTTGTAGCACATACTATAAAGCTTTCCTTTAAGGAAAAAATGCAGCTTATTAATACTTTAGTTGTAAACTCTTTGTGATGTCATGGTTGAATACTAATCTGATACAAGGCAAGTTATTTTTTTTTTAATACTTTAAACTTGAGATCACATTATCTTTTTTTTTATAGTGATTCATCATCTTAACTGTTAATGCAGTTGGCCTATGATAAAAATCCTATAATGGGCAAAAAAAATTTGAATTTGAGAAATCACTTAATATTTTTTTTAGGATTTATTTATTTATTCGAAAGGCAGAGTTACAGAGGAAGAAGCAGAGGGCGAGGGCGAGGGCGAGAGAGAGAGAGAGAGGGAGAGAGAGGTATCCGCTGGTTCACTCCACAAATGGCCACAACAGCTGGAGCTAGGCTGATCCGAAACCAAGAGCTTGGAGTTTCTTCCAGGTCTCCCATGTGGATGCAGGGGCCAAGGACTTGGGCCATCTTCTACTGCTTTCCTAGGCCGTAGCAGAGAGCTGGTTTGGAAGTGGAACATCCAGGACTCGAACCGGCACCTATATGGGATAAAGGCACTGTAGGCTGTGCCTTTACTTACTGCTGGCTTAATATGTTTTGTCATTTTAAGAAAGTATCTTGGGGCCAGCGCCATGGCTCACTTGGTTAATCCTACACCTGGGGCACCTGCATCCCATATGGGCGCCTGGTTCTAGTCCTGGCTGCTCCTCTTCCAGTCTAGCTCTCTGCTGTGGCCCGGGAAGGCAGTGGAGGATGGCACAAGTGCTTGGACCCCTGCACCCGCATGGGAGACCAGGAAGAAATACCTGGCTCCTGGCTTCGGATCGGCACAGTGCCGACTATGGCGGCCATTTTGGGGGTGAACCAATGGAAGGAAGACCTTTCTCTCTGTCTCTCTCTCTCACTGTCTATAACTGTCAAATAAAAAAAAAAAAAAAAGGAAATATCTTGATTTTGTGAACTTGATTATGAACAACAAACATTTGTTTGATCTTTTTGTTAGTATTGCGAACTTTATTGGTTGGCTAAGTTTCCTTTGTATGTTCTGTTTCTTTTATGCTTTAAGTCATTTGTTGATATTCTTATGATTTAATTTCAAGGGATCAAAAATAACATAAACATTGAAAAGTATCCTGATCTGTTCAACATAAACCTTTTGTTCTTTTTTGTAGTTTGTGTTGCTGTTCTTGAGCCAATGATTTTAGTTAATTGCACAGAGACATTTTGCCTTGGGCATTTGTGACCCCAGCAGACTATGCATTCATTGATTTTTAAATTGTGTCACAGAGAGGAAATCTTACCTTAACAAATCTGGTTGTACATTACTTTTTTTTTAGTTATCTTGGATATTTTCTTACAGATTGAGAATATCTACAAATCTCTTCCCAATTTGCCACAAGAAGAAAAGATAACGGCACTGTCAATGCTTAAACTGCGGTATTTCACTCCTAGAGAAATAGCAAATCTCCTTGGATTTCCTCCAGAGTTCGGTGGGTAGGATCACGCAGATCTCAGCTTTCATTTAGTAAAGCTCCCCAGATCCTTCAGACCTCCCGAGTATATTTTGTGAATACACTGTTGCCTATACAAGTGAGTTCAAGAACTTTCCTTCCTTTCTTTTCTTTCCTCTTTTTTTTTAAAATGTTTTTATTTATTTGAGAGGTAGTATTACAGATACAGAGAGGAAAAGACAGAGAGAGAGGTCTTTCATCCACTGATTCATTCCCCAAGTGGCCACAGTGGCTGGAGCTGGGCTGATCTGAAGTCAGGAGTAAGGAGTTTCTTTTGGGTCTCTCACACAGATGCAGGGGCCCAAGCACTTGGACCATCTGCTTTCTCAGGCCATTAGCAGAGAAATGGATCAGAAAAGCAGCAGCCAGGATGAGAACTGAAGCCCCTATGGGATGCTGGTGCTGCAGGAAAGCTTAGTCTACTATGCCACAGTGCCGGCCCCTTTCTTCCTTTCTTGATCATTTTCTCTCCTCCTTCCTTTTCCCTCATAACACCTCAACTTATTCCCTGTGACTCAATTCTCCCTTGCCCTTAACTCCGCTAGAGGGCCAAAGAGTTTTTCAGGGGCAGAAGGGGCAAATCAGGAGTTTCTCTGTCTTCCACAGCGGTTGTTAGTAGTACCTCTTTTTCCATTTATGTTCTTGCTTCCAGAAGTCTGATCCTAGTAACCTAATGCTAGATATCTTGAGAATGAATGCCTATGCTGTGTGCATGTGTGTATGTGCATGTGTAAATTAAAAGACAGTTAAGGAATTTTGGGGGGATAAAAGATGCATTTGTACTTACATTCCTACACAGAAATGCATTCTTATCAGTTGTGTGCCCTTGTCCTTTCCTACAGGGTTAAATGGAGAAAAGAGCAGGTGGAGAGGTAATCTAGGAAGGACTTTTCCAAAGGAAAGAAAGGGAAGCTTAGCAGCACCTTTGCCAGAGTTGACTGAAGATTAGAGATCCGCAGCAGAGAATCTCAAAAACAAAAGTGAAGATAGAGTTGTAGAGTGGAAGGACAAAGTCCTGACTCCGTTGGCAATCCAGGAAATCCAAGGATTATTGCTCTTAAGAGGTTGGGTTCTCTGTCTTTTCCTGGTTGGAGCAGCCCAGCTCCTCTTTCTGATCCCACTCCTAAGGAGCCCTGTCAACTGTAAGAAGGCTGTCGCTTTCTTAGGCCTGGGAGTGGCTGTGTTCCTAGTATGTGGCTGATGGGCATGGGGAAAGATGGATCTCGCAGATAATATGCTTCCAGACTGCAGAAGGAGGAAGTGTACTTTTGAGAACTCTGATTGGGGCTTTACACAAAAGCCAAATTTTGTTGAATCTAATACCATTATAATATTAAATATCTTTTTGAAAGGCAGAATGACAGAGACACAGACAGACAGGATTATCCATCTAGTGGTTCACTCCCCAAATGCCTGCAAAGCCAAGTTGGGTCAAATTGAAGCTAGGAACCAGAAACTCTATCCAGGCAGGGCCCAAGCACTTGGGCCATCTTCTGTTCTTCCCAGGCGCATTAGCAGAAAGGTAGATGGAAAGTTAGAATTGGGACTTTATCCCAAGCACTGTGCTATGTGTTGTGGGTGTTCCAGGTGGCAGCTGAACCAACTCACTATGCTACCACTCCAGCCCCATGTTGTAATATTAATATACTATTCCTGAAGTAAATGATGGGTCAAAGATAACATTTCAAATGATAAATAATAGATTTACAGTTGCATCATGGAATGTATTACTTTTGTACCTTAGGAACAAAATTTCAATATAATTTGACTACCCCCTGGGTTATTTAATTTTTCAAGTTTTTTGTCACAGAAATCAAGATTATTTTCTGTTCTCTGTCTTTTTTTTATTTAAAAACATTTTTTACTGATATTCAGTTCCAAATATTCTAGGGAGTATTATTTAAGAAAAATATAGATTTTCTTTGTCTTACTTTATGTCATAAAATGAGAACACCATAACAATAATAATGAACTAAGAATTTAACTCAACAGTTGTAATTCCCCCTCTGCTTTCTTAGTTACTATTTTTAAATGAGTAATCAGACATACTTTACATACACCTAAGGAGAGAAAAAAGATTGACTATCTAATAAAAACTATTTCTACATTTTTATCCCAGTCCTCCCCATCACCCCCAACAAGAAGTAGCAGGTACTTTGTAATACTAAAAATTGTAAAGGAGCCTAGAACCTGAGACTGACTGAATTTGAATCTTAGCTCTACCTTACCAATTCTATGTTAGTGTACTTATGTGTGAAATGGGATCATTATAGCACTTTCTTCATAAGGTTGTTGGGACAATTTAGTGAATGAATATATGTAAGGTACTTACATAATATTGAAATCATAATATAAAATTTAATGGTAGCTTTTATTCTTTAAATGATAAAGATTGATTGGCTTTTCTTACCTTTATATTTTCTCATTATTATAAAATTTTAGATGAGTAAAATAGAACTTTTTTTAAGATTTATTTATTTATTTGAGAAGCAGTTTCAGAAAGACAGAAGGAGAGACAGAGAGAAAGGTCTCCCATCCGCTGGTTCACTCCCCAAAATGGCCACAATCGCCAGAGCTGCGCCGATCCAAAGCCAGAAGCCAGGAGCTTCTTCTGGGTCTTGCACATGGGAGCAAGGGGCCCAAGGACTTGGGACATCCTCTGCTGCTTTCCTGGGTGCATTAACAGAGAGTTGGATCAGAAGTGGAGCAACCAGGACTAGAACCAGTGCCCATAGGGGATGCTGGCCCCCAGGCAGAGGCTTTACCTAGTATGCTGCAGTGCCGGCCTCAAAATAGAATCTTTCAAAGCTCTCTGAATGTGTCAGTATAGTATATTCAAAAAAGGCTTATTGAGTGCTGAGTTGTCTTTTTAAGATATGTGATCTGTTTGTGTAGTCCAGTTCATCCGAGTGTTCCTGCTGAGCAGGACTGTGACATGAGTGTCCTCACAAGTGTTTCTGACATTACTGACTCTGGGTCCAAAGTGGCCATTGTTTGAGCTGCTTATCCACTGACAGTGATGGATTTGCATTGAACTTCCTGTGCATTCTGGCCTGCTTCTCTTGGTGACTGGTAGCTGCATTTTTGAAGGAAGTAGGCTTTGAAAGAGAGAAACACTAACCGATACTTACTGGATGAAAGCCACTTTCATGACCTTGTTAATTCTACACTGCGTTGTTTTTGAAGATTACTGTTATTTTTAGTGTCTCCAAGTTTTTAAAAAGTTACTTTTTAATTTAAAAATTACATAATTTTTTTCCAAAAGTCAGTTTAGACTTTATTATCTCTCTCTAAAATATGCACAGATACACACATACACACATAATTTTTATAAATCTGACTTGTTCGTATTACACATTTCTTCCCCTCTATATAGTATTTTAAAATTTTATGTTTCAAGTTTTTTTTTGACAGGCAGAGTGGACAGTGAGAGAGAGAGACAGAGAGAAAGGTCTTCCTTTTTGCCGTTGGTTCACCCCCGCAACGGAGGATTAGCCTAGTGAGTTGCGGCGCCGGCCCTATGTTTCAAGTTTTTTGATTGGGGCCAACATTGTGGCGCATGGATTGAACTGCTGCCTGTGAGGTCGGGTGTCCTGTATCAGAGTACAGGTTCCAGTCCCAGCTGCTCCACAGGTTATGCAAGTGCATCTCCCTGCCAATATGCCTGGGAAAGCAGCAGAAGATGGCCTGAGTATTCAGGTCCCTGCCACTTAACATGGGAGATCTGGATGGAGTTCAGCCTGGCCAAGTTCCAGGTGTTGTAGCCATTTAAGGAGTAAGCCAGTGGATGTAAGATGGATCTCTCCTCTCTCTCTTTCTCTGTAACTCTGCCTTTCAAATAAATAAGTCTATAAAATAAATAAAATGAATATTTTTGATTAATTTGATGTGATTGTATATCTTTAAGGGGTGCTTCGCATTATTTTAACACATGCATATAGCATAAACTGATCAAGTCAGGCAACAAGCATCTCCACCAGTCCACCCTCCCTCTGTGTTTGGAGCCTACCAACTCCTCTCCTCTAAGTCTGTATGGTGTGTAATACTGGATTATGAGCCGCAGTCACCCACTGTGATGTGAAAAACTGGAATTGACCGTTCATATCTGGCTGTTTTGTTGCCCTTTATCAATCCTCCCTCTACCCTTCCTCCCAGTTTCTAGTAATCACTATTCTAAATAAAAAGACCATCCTGGGATATTCTAAAAACCTGTTTATGGGGAGATTTATACTGCTAGCTCTTTGGAATGAAATAACTTTTAAGATGGGTTTTGTGTTTGCATTAAGACATATTACCTTAATGATATATGATTATAAAGACAGAAATATCATCATGTTCAGTTGCAAATATAGTTTTATTATAATAATTATTTTATTATAGCTTATATAATGTCAAGTGTTGATGAAGCAAATTTACCAGAACCAACTCTACCTTCTGGTCCTTATAAGTATATGAAATTTGACTGTTATTAATGTTCATTTCCTTTATCTTATTACCAAATTTTCTTTTCTGTTTTTAAATTTGATATGCCAGAGGGTATTGAATTTGAAATCCAGACATTGTAACCAACTAACATTATATTGTGACTTCCATGCATGGGCAGCCTTTTACACTGATATTTTTAAGGTCTTGTTTCAGAAAAAGTACTATCTGGGGCCTTCTCATTTTGGTCAAGTATGTAGCAAATAGAGTTCTAACCTGAGAAAATCGGTTACTGGGAGTAGCATATTCAAAACAACTGCAAGAAACTTTTTTCCAGAATATATACAGAACTCATACAACTCAACAGTAAAAAGAAAAAAAATAAACCAAAGTTTAAAATGTGCAAAAAGATTTTAAATAACATTTTTCCAAAGGAAATAAACAAATGGCCAGAATGAAAATGAAAAAAGGTGTTCATCATCATGTAACATCCTTTCATAATGAAAACCTTAAACAAATTGGTTATAGAAGGAACATTCCTCAAGACAATCAAGGTG